GGGGGCCGCGCCGCGCAGCATGGCCGCGGAGCTCAGCGCCGAGGAGGAGCAGGTAGGATCCCGCCGGGCTCCCCTTCCCTGCGGCCGGGCTCCGCCGCTCCCCGGGCCGGGCCGGGCCGGGCCGGACCCCATTTCTTGGCTCTCCCGGGTTGCAGGGCTGTTTTTTTTCCCAGCGCGGCGGTTCTCCCCAAGGAAAGCCCTATCTGCAACCGCCCCCCCCCCCCCCCATCTCCCCATCTCCGCACAGTGCGCACCCCAAAGGCCTTTGTAAGGCCTGTGCCTTGGGTGTCAGGGCGAGCTGGGGTGCTGCAGCGTGGCGTTGGTGTCACGCACCCCCAAACTGGTCTCTGTGTGTGTGTCCCCGGGTACCGGTGGCCTGTCCTTACGGCCCCCCCCCCCCCAAACCGTGGGCAAGCTGGCGTGGGGATGCGTGTGCACGCGCTTCCCACGCCCCAGGCCTCCCGTGACGTCCCGGCTTCCTCCGCCGGCCTTGCGTCACTGCGGGAGGATGTTGCTGGGCTCAGGGAACGGGGCCGATAAGCCAGCTGGGGCGCGTTGGATGGCAAGAGCGATCTCTGGTTCTCCTTTCCTTCGTCCTCGTCCTCGGGGATGCCCACCCGGTTCTGCATCCGTGCCTTGAGCCGCCTCCGCCGGGCTTCCCGCCGGACAGGGATGCTGGGCGCGCTGCCAGGGGCTGCCTCGAAGCCAGGCTCCCCTCTGTCCCACGGCGATGCTCGGGCTGGCCGAGGGTGCTGCGTCGCGTCGGCCAACTCGCTGGCCTCGGGGGGCTGCAAGGAGAAGGCGAAAGGGACCAGATGATCAGTTTTCTGTTTGGTTGGTCGGTTTTCATTTCTGCAACATCCTTCCTTTATACAGAGAGGATTAGGAGGGGTGGTACGCAGACCTTCGGGTTCTCCAAACCCCCGTGTCCCCGCAGGGAGTGCTCGCCCGGAGCTGGAAGAGTCTGTCCAGCAGCCCACGCTGGTGCTCAGGAAATGCAGCTCTCTCGGGCTTTCTCCTCCATCACACCTCCTTCTCATCAGCGCCGCTCCTGGGAGCGGTACTGCTGTCTCCAGGGTAATAAAATCTCAAGGAGTGGGGGGCATTCGTGCCCCGTGTCCCCACAGGTGCCCGTGATATGTGTCATGGAAGGGGCAAAGCTTCTGGCAAATGGGGTTTTAGAAGACCCTGCTCGGGCAGGGAGGCTTCCCAGGAGAGGGATCCAAGACATTTGGCTTGTGCGGCAATATTGGATGGAGAAGGTGAAGGGATATTTGCAATAATGGCTCCAGGTTTGGATCATCAGACTAGGGTGGGGGAAGGTTGCCCTTGGTGCTGCCCTCAATGGCTTGGAAGTCAAAATAGTGGCGGTTTCTCTGTTTTCACGGGTAAGTGCTGGTTGGGGCTGGGACATTCCCTTCCTGCCACCCCTTCGTCCTCCTCGGGACCATCAGGATTTCCTCCGCTCTTTCTGCTCTCCGCTGTTACTGACAGCAAGCTGGGGGGGAATTCACTCCTCTCCTGTCCCTGCCAGCCTTGGGACATCTCCTGCTCCGTAGGATCTCTGCAGTTCCCCCCCTAGTCTATCCCAGAGGGACCAGAGGAGCTAAACTGATTTTCCTTGGGGGTTTTCAGCCCAGCTGTGATTTTCACAGGACTTATTTCCCACCCCGGGCTGAAGAAGGAGGGTGGGTTTGCTGCCTGCGCAGCCCGGGGGAGGAGGGCTTGAAGAGCCCCCGTGTTCCTGTGGTGGTGGCTTTGTCACCACCCTGCCCTGGCGCAGCGAAGCAGGGACTTTGATGACGCCAGCGCTCCAAAGACCAGCATTGTTCAAAACACCCGGCTGCGGACAATTTTGCTCACAGCGCTGCCATCGCTTGCAGAAATGGGGCTGCTTGCTGCAGCTCTGGGTCATGGGCTTCGTTTGCAGCACGAGGAGTGATCCCTGCTGTGCTCGGCTCAACACCTGTATAAATCCGTGTAGGATCAGGGCTGGAAACGATGATGAGACCCGGTGTGGCGTGTAAGGGGGGCAGAGCTACGGCTGGTATTGATGCTCAGCTCGGTAACTCCTGGCTCACCTGCTGTTGAGTGTCAGCACTGGTAAGTTTGGGATTTTGTTTTGCTCCCGGAGAAAGCAGGGGAAAGCTAGAATTCGTGGCTGAGCTGCCCTGCAAAGCCAGCGCTTGTTCTCGTGGGTCTTCCCCCTTGCAAAAAAACCCGGCATCCCTCGTGATGGATGCTGGAAGTGGGATTGCATGACACATGAAGGGTTAGATGTTGAGGGAGGAGACCTGAACCACGTGTTGCATCCTCTCCCCGCTGCCACCGTGCCCCTCGAGGCATCCCTCCCATCATCTCGGGGCATCTTTCACCATCTCAAGCTGCAGTGTCGGCTCTGGTCTCCATTTGAGGGCAGTGGGAGTGTGCCTGGTGCTCGTCCCCATCCCCATGCCATCCGGCACATGCTGGGGAAGGAGCACCTCTGCTGATATTTTGGGTTTGCATCTCCACCCAGCCCTAGCTTTTGGGCAGCTGGGGGCCCTAGGGGACTCCCTGGCAAAGTGGGGGTACAGCCGGTGAGGTTCCCCATCTTAGCTTACAGATAGGATACATTTCTATATACGTATGTGTGGATGTGGTTGTTGTGTTAAGGCTGAAGATGGTTTCTGTATTGCCCCGTTTATTTTCCCATCCCTCTTCAATAGAGCAGAAATCATTAGAAATTTGGGCCATGAAAGAGTTGCTTTTGTTTTGGCAAAGCGGAGCCTGTTGGAGATGAAGCCGTGGGGATAAAGGCATCTTGTAAGTACGGCTCCCAGGGAAAGCTGCCGCCAGCTGCTGGCTGGGAGGTGGGAATGCGAGGCAGGGGGGTGTATAACACCATGTCTCCTTTGCTCCCCACTTTTCCCGCTCCCCTCCAGTCCCTTGCCCCCAACAGTTGCAGAGATGGGAGGACCGATCCGGCTGCCAAGCCACAGCCTGTTGACCGTGGCACGCTGCCGTGCCGGGAGGGCTTGCAATGCTTAAAGGGGATTTTTGTGAGAGCTCGGAGCTGGGCTATTGAAATCCGCTTTCAGATTCCTCCCAGCGCTGTTGGCAGCAGATCCAGCCCAATTCCACAAGTTCCCTCCTGGCTGGTGCTTGCCCAGCCGCTCTGTGGGACTCCGATACCGAGTTAAGGAGCTTCTGGTTGCGATGTGCTGGGGGTCTGGGCTGGCCCTTAGTGGCTTCCAGCAGCCGTGCGAGCCGGTACCCCTTCCAAGAATGCTTGCCACGATGCCAGGCGGGCTGCGGAGAGACCCCTTGGACAAGCCAGGCTACTTCAGCTCATCCCATGAGAGGGGCTCACTGCCCCCGTCGAGCCTCACGCTGCCGATAAACCCCAGCCCTTCGCTTCCTCCCGTCGGAAGTCATTAACGCCGGCAAGCTTTTCTGGCTGAATAGCTCCCAGTAACCCCATGCCGCTGCCTGACATCCAACACCGCCGCCTGCCTGCACTCCCTGCTCCGGGAGCCAGCCTTCGGTGCTCACTGTCTCTCCTCCTCCTCCTTGCGCTGTCATCGCCATCCTCCGCTCTTGCCAGGATGGAAACTCCTCTGTTTTGGGGTGTGCCTGGGTGGGAGCAGGGCGTTTCGGGGACTCCCTCCATCCTGCCCGCATCCTTTGAGCTGTACGTGGTGGAAGGCTAGGCTGTGCTGCCCTGTCTCCCTTGGGGCTCCTCTAAGGGACAGGGGGTCAATACGCAGCAGAAAGCAAAGCTGCTTCCGTTAGCATGGGCGTTAAGAAACCCCAAGCCCACCTTGCAAACACAGCTAGTAAAAATAATACATTTTGGGGTTGTTTTGCTCACCTTCAGGGCTTTAAGCATGCTGGGAGGTTGCAGGTTGGGTTTTGCAACTGCTCCGTCAGCGCTAGGGTTGGAAAAGTTTCTTTCTTGGTTTCTCACGGTTTCGGGTGCCTGCGGTGCTGGTGCTTTGGGAGGAGGGGCTGCTCGTGCGGGATGCCCCTGGTGTGTTTTGGAACCACGGGTTGTGGGGAGCAGTGGGAGCATCCTGGGACCCTCCTGGACTGAACCCTTCTTGTCTGGTCTTCTGCGGCCGTGTGAAACTGGCCTTACTGGGTGAGCTGGTCCGTGTCCTGTAGCACATCAAAGCGTCAGTCCTTGGTGCCAGTACTTGTGTTCACATGGCCGGGTTCGCTGCTCCATGGCGGAGCTGCAGCCCTGGGAGGCCACTGCCAGCTGATGGGTTCCTGCTGTGCCAAGGCCGTTCTGTCTGAAGGGGAGTTTGCCACCTGTAAAATCCTCCTTTTGCTCCCCCTTTCCCTTCCACAAGTCTCCCTCAGCCCCAAGGCCGTTTTTCCAATGCCAGCACTCCTACCACTTGCTCCCTTCCCCACACTGGCGTTCCCTCCGTCTCCATCCCCACTGCTTTTACCCCCTTTCCCAGTACGTGCTGTAGAGCTCCCCGCTTCGCCCCAAGGAGCTGCTGGGTTTGCCGAGCCGTGCTCGGCCCCTCCCCACGCACTGAGGACCGTGACCAGGGATGCTCCTCAGGAGTTTCTTCCTCTTCCTCCCACCCCATCTCACTGCACACCCCTCGTCTCTCCCACAGGCGACCAAGCAGTTCCTGGAGGAGATCAACAAGTGGACGGGCCAGTACAATGTGTCCCCGCTCTCCTGGAACGTGGCCGTCAAGTTCCTCATGGCCCGCAAGTTCGACGTCCTGCGGGCCATCGAGCTCTTTCACTCCTACCGGGTAAGAGAGCAGGGCCTGGTCCCCCCCCAGCTGTGGGCTTCCTGCTCTGCAAGAGATCTCTGGGCCCAGGGACGACCCTCCCCCTGCTTTTTTTTCTTTTTCCCACTCCCTTAGGAGTTTTATCCGGCTGGAAAATCCTTTTTCAGCCAAGGCGAGTCACCATGGAGATCTCGCCGACCCCAGTCCCCTCCCCTCCACTGAGAGCAGCGTGCATGCTCGCAGGGTGCCCTCCCGGCTGGTGCGTGATGCCTGCAGAGCATCTCCCCATATATAAAGGATATATGTGCATATATATATACCTTTCCCATCCTGGTTTTGTAAAGCTGCTCCTCCCTGTGCTGGGGGTTGTGGTGCTGCAGCCAGTTGCAATCCTCTGCTGGAAAATGGGGCCATGGAGCAGAGGTTTCCCCGCTGGGGCTTCCCTTGGAGGGCTGAGTGCCCCATGAGGACACGATGGTGGGTGGAGGGCTGGGGTGCCCGTGCTGGCCGTCACGCCGGCCTCTCTGCCTGCAGGAAACGCGGCTGAAGGAGGGCATCGTGAAGCTGAAGCCGCACGAGGAGCCGCTGCGCTCGGAGCTGCTCAGTGGCAAGTTCACCATTCTGGTAGGTGGGGGTATCCCCCTGCCCTGAGTTACCCCAACCGGGCAGCTCATCCCGGCTCTGCTCCACGCGGGCGTCCTCGGGTGCCACGGGAGCCTGACCCTCTTTCATTGCCAGAGCGTGCGGGACCCCTCGGGAGCCTCCATCGCCCTCTTCACGGCCAAACTGCACCACCCCAGCAAGAGTGTGCAGCACGTCGTGCTCCAGGCGCTCTTCTACCTGCTGGACCGAGCAGTGGAGAGGTGAGCTGGGGTACTGTGTCTTATGGCGGCAGGTCCCCAGGGAGCCCCTTCCCTCCCAGGGGCGAAGGGAGATGCTGCTGTTCACTGAGGTTTTGATAAAATCCCTCCAAAAGGCTTCGTGGGGAACAGATGTGCTGCCTCGCCAGTGAATGTGAATTCATGAAGGTGGAATTGTGGCTGAGTGTCTGCATGCCTCCAGGTGTCCCATCTCTAGTTAGGGGAGAGAAGGGGTCACAGCTCCCTGTGGCTTGAAATTCCCTGTCTTCCCTTGGTTTGAATTCAAGCCAGTCATCCCCATGGAGGCGTTCAGCAGGGGAATGAAATCCCCCGAGCCCTGAACCAGGCTCTTCACAGCCTTTCCCTGCCCACGTCCAGGTTTCAGTTTAGCAGACTGATTCCTGCAGGCTTCAGCCAGGGAGGAGGCAGCCCAGCCGCCAGCGAGATGTAACGTGAGTCCTGCCACAAATATAAAGCCAGGATGTCCCATTTATCCTGCTGGGCTCTTTCTGTTTTTCAACTTGCCCGTCACGGGCAATGCAGCTGCGACACGCTTCAGACATGAGCCGGGCTTAAATAAGAGTTGTAGAAAGAGGTGGTGAAGCAGCTGGGAAATGCAGAAGCGAGCTTTGGGTCCATGAGTCCTTCTGGAAGCACAGAAGGGGATTTTTGGGGGTCAGCGAGCTGAAGATGAGGTTAGCATGGGGGAGATCTGCTCATGCAGGAACTGAGCAGTTGGATATTGCAGGGTTGACATTGCTCTGTCCCCTCTCTCAGCTTCGAAACCCAGAGGAACGGACTGGTGTTCATCTATGACATGGCAGGCTCACAGTACACCAACTTCGAGCTGGACCTCAGCAAGAAGATCCTCAACCTGCTGAAGGTAACAGCCAGGGGTGACCTGGAGTCCAGGGATGGCCACTTGCTCACTGAGTATGTGAAGTCTGTGGTTTTGGCGTAAATTTTCACACCAGACCAATGCTGACCACATCGCAGCTGAGGAGCACTGGCTCCAGCCCCGTAGGACCCCAGGAAGGCATTGGGAGCCTGCCAGGCTGGACCCACGGGTGGGAAGGGATCAGCTGTCCCCGTGCCGGATTCCTCTCGCAGCTGCTGGCAGCGCTTTTGGGAAAACAGATGCAAATTATTTTTTAATCGTGCTTGGCATTTCGTGCCTCCTCCCTTCTCCGGAAAAAAGAAATAACAGTAAATATTGGCTGGGGTGTGTTGTCCGCGCAAATCCCGGCTCTCAGGCTTCACCTCTCCCATGGAGCCAAACCCTCTGCCTACTCAGTTCCAAGGAAATCATTTGTTTCCATATCGGAGCATAAAAATAAGCAGCGCCGCCGGCTGTGTGCGAGGCATGCTTTGGGTGCGTCATTGCCATCTCGGGGTGCCTTTGCTGGTTGTCACCTCTGCTGGGAGGTGTCACCCCCCCGGCAGAGCGTGGAGAGGGGCCAGTTCCTCCCTGGCGGCGTGGATCTGACCCCCTCCTGTCCACAGGGTGCCTTCCCGGCTCGGCTCAAGAAGGTTTTCATCGTGGGAGCGCCCATGTGGTTTCGTGTGCCCTACTCCATCATCAGCCTGCTGCTGAAGGAGAAGCTGCGGGAGCGGGTGAGTGAGTGCGGGCCCCCCCCCCAGCACGGCACCCTCGGTGGGGAGGGCAGAGGCTGTTTTCCCCTTGGGACAGGATGGTGTAGGCAGCTTGTGCCCCTCAGCCCCATCCCCTGGAAGCTGCTGAGCCCAAATCCGTGGGAAACGGAGGCTTTCTCAGCCTGTTTCATAGGGGTCGTCAACCTGTTTTGGTATTTTCAGCAAATATCTTGAACCCCTTTTGAAATCGCCTTCGATTTCTTCTTCTGTGGTGAGGCTGCCAGCAGCTGCAAGTAGAGGCAGTGGTAAATGATTAAAGGGAAAGGACACCTCTTCTGAGCACGCAGGAGAAAAGGGAAGCTTAAAAACCTGGGCTCAGGCCCTATTTGGCAAAGCCAAAAATACCTAAACTGGTATCCTCAGCGTCAGTGGTGCTGCTGGCAGAGCCCGTTTCCAGCCTGACGTCTCCCTGGGCTGGACTTTGCCCCTCTGCTTTTGGTAGGGGCTCGGAGCCACTTGCAAATTTGGAGCTGGGTGTCAGGGTGGATTCCCACCCTGGGTATGTGGTGGGGCCAGCCTCTGCCCCACTGCTGGTGTTCCCTTGGGTGCCCTCCTGGTGCCGGGGAGGAAGGGGGAAGACCCCCATGCTGTTGGGGGAAATCCCTGGGCTCCATCAGGATTGTGCCAGACGGTTGGCATCCCTGTCCCTGTCCCCAGTGAACCCTCTCCATCCTTGGAGTCACCCCTGCCCCTCGTCTTCCTCCTGCAGGTGCAGATGGTGAAGATGTCGGAGCTGAAGGAGCACCTGCCCCGGGAATGCCTCCCCGAGTACCTCGGGGGGTCCCTCAAACTGGATCCTCTAAGCTGGAACTGCCGGTTCCTGCCCCAGCAGAATGGGCATCCCGACCCCCTGGACGAGCTCATCCTGGTGCCACTGGTGGCCCCCAAAGATAACGGCTCCGTCCATGTCCCCGGGCCCAAGTCCGTCACCCTGCAGGAGCTGCTGGATCACGTCAGCCACAAGCAGAAGCGGGGCATCTATGAAGAGTACGAAGATATTCGGCGGAGGAGCCCAGCCGGCACCTTTGTCTGCTCTTTGTGAGTCGGGGAGAAGGAGCCGAGTGCGGGCGAGCGTGGGGGTCCCTCTCTCGTGCCAGAAAAGCCGGGTCCCCCCTGCCCCGCTTCTGCTGCTTGGTGGCAACCCAGCCGCCTCTTTGGGGTGCAGTGCTTTGGGTTAGCCATGGAGACCCCCAGCTCCTTTGCAGCTCCGGTAGGCCCCGGGGGTACAAGGGAGCTGCCGGAGAGGGGACAGTGGGGACAGGACCTGGCCGGGACTCCGCTTCCCGAAGCTTTGGCCAGGTGATGGCAGCAGAGCCCAGGCTACGGGCACCGGAGGCTTGCGCAGAGGGAGGGATGCTGCCTTTTCCTTCCCTGCCTGGAAGACATCCCTGCTTCCCTCTCCCCTGCCTCCCAGGGCACCCTACAACCAGGATAAGAACCGGTACGGGGATGTGCCCTGCTTGGACCAAACCCGCGTCAAGCTGGCAAAGCCGTACAGCCGCCCGGAGGTAAGCCAGCCTGGGATAGAAACTCAGGGGTCCCACGTGAAGCTGACGCAGCTGTCCCAGCCACGGGGCTCTGGAGGGGCTCATGCTGTGTGTATTTTTCTCCCCCCCAGCTGACCGACTACATCAACGCAAGCTTCATGGACGGCTACAAGCAGAGGAACGCTTACATCGGGACTCAGGGTATGGCCTGAGCCACCAAGGGGCTCTTTTGCTCCTGATGCATGTGTGGGCTTCACCTCCCTGCCCAGCATCGGCCACTTGCCATGGTGGGGGACATCCCGTGAGCGGTTTCTCCTGGGAGAGAGCAAGTGGGTCCATCCTCCTTCAGCCGCCTCCCACAAAACAGGTCCTGGGCTGAGCAGACCCCTGCTAGCAGCGGCGATGGCAGCCCCCTCCTCCTGCCCCTAACGTGGCCCCTGGTTTTGCCCCATCTGCCCAGGGATGGAGCAGCAGGGAGCAGAGCGGGGGGATTGGTGCTGAGCCACAGGGATTCGGTGCTGGGGCAGGGGGGGCAATCCGTGGCAGCTCCAGGCAGGGCTGGTGGATCCACGCCAGGGTCGGTCCCTGCGGGAAGGGGCTGTGGTCCCCCGGGGAGGGTGAGGGGGGCTGGCGGAGGCTGCTGGGTGAAGGGGCTTGCTCAAATCCATCAGGTTTTGGGCTGACGTATGGGCTGTCCCCGCAGGGCCTCTGGAAAACACCTATGGTGACTTCTGGCGCATGGTGTGGGAGCAAAACGTCCTGGTGATTGTGATGACAACCCGGTGAGTGCTCGTGGTCGGCGCACAGCCCTGTTTTTCTTTGCAAAATAAGCGTTTTTGCTGTTGGAGGAGCAGCGCTGTGCTCTCTGCAGTGACCTGGCAGCTGTGGTCCCAGCTGGAGCCCCTCAGGGTGGGGACATCATATCAGGGATGGACTGTTTGGTCCCTGTGGGATCCTCAAGGGACCAAGGCCGGGTGGCATGGGACATGTCCCTAGCAGGGCGAGGAGGACATCACCAGCTTGTCCTTCTCCTGTTCTCAGGCTGGAGGAGGGAGGCAGGAGAAAGTGCGGCCAGTATTGGCCCCTGGAGAAGGATTTCCAGGTGTGCTTCGGGGCCCTGACCATCACCAACCTGGGCGTGGAGAACCTCAACCATTACAAGAAAACCATCCTGGAGATCCACAGCTCAGAGGTGCGTGGCTGCAGCCACGGGGATGGCACAGGGGTGCTGGAGGTCCTCTCTGGCCAGGGGCAGAGAAAGGGAGAGGGTCTAACCCCCCTGTTTTCTCCCAGACCAGGGAGCGGCGGCTGGTGTCTCACTTCCAGTACCTGAGCTGGCCGGACTACGGCGTCCCCTCCTCTGCGGCCACCCTCATCGACTTTTTGGGGGCCGTGAAGCAGCAGCAGAGGGTGGCAGTCAGCGCCCTGGGACCTCGCTTCAAGGGTCACCCTGGGGGACCGCCGATCGTGGTGCACTGCAGCGCTGGCATCGGCAGGACAGGTAATGGGGTAACCCCACTGCTGGGCTGGAGGTCTTGGTGGTGGTGGGGCATGTCCAACCTCCCAGGGACGTTTCCATCCCGGGGACCGACGGCGTGTTTGCAAGTTAGTTGACCCAGGACGCGTGTCCCCAGGACCTTCTGCAGCCATTGGACCTGGGAGAAGTCTCTGCCCCGCTTCTCCCGACGCCTGTGGTCGCATGTGGGAGGTTGGTGGGGGGCCAAGGACCACCACTGCCCCGCTCCGGTTCTTGCAAGGGGCAGCGATGGCTATTCAGCGGCTGACGCTGTCCCCGTTGTTGTCCCCAGGTACCTTCTGCGCTCTGGACATCTGCCTGTCCCAGCTGCAGGACGTGGGCACGCTGAACATCTACCAGACGGTGCTGCGCATGCGGACCCAGCGCGCCTTCAGCATCCAGACCCCCGAGCAGTATTATTTCTGTTACACTGCCGTCCTCGAGCACGCCCAGCACGAGGGCCTGCTGCTCGCCAACCACAACCGGGCCGGCCAGGAGAAGAGCTCGCCGGGACACTGAGACCCGCTGCCTCCCCACAGACAACCCCCCCACACACCTCTTCCCATCCTCCCGGGGTTGCCAGAGCCGCCTCCGCGCCCGTCGGGACTCGGCAGAGCTGTCGGGACAGTGGTGCCGGAACACGGTGGCAGGCAGGCAGGCAGGCAGCTGCCCGTCCTCGACTATTAGCACTGCTATCGAACTGTGCCTTATTCAAACCAAATGGTGGCTGCCGCTCGCTGGGGGGTGGAGGACGGCGCGGGAAGAGGCTCTTGCTCCTCTCCGTGGTATTTCTGTTGGGGGGGTTGGTTGTTTGGGGAGGTGGTTTTTCTTCTCTTCGAGTTGTTTTTGTTTTTTGGGGGGTTTTTGGTTTTTTTTGTTGGGACCATCTAAAAATGTTATCTAGAGAGGGGTTTTGCAAAGCCCTAGGAAATGTATTTCCAGTCCTGCCCCTGCCCTGGGGCTTAGGAAGAGGCACCTACGTCAGTCTTACCTGCCACTAAGTCTGTGTGTCTGTATGTATGTGTGTATATAATATATCCTTGCTGTGCCCAACCCCGGCTATTATATAGAGACATATATACAAGCACCCGTTTTTAGGAGCTCCTGTGGGTCCCCGCTGTCCTGCCGTCTCACCGCTGTGATCCGTGGAGCGGTGAGTTTGGTCCTGGCTCTGTCTTGTCTTCCCCCCCTGCTGCTTTTTTCCCTTTCCTGCCCCCCCTGCTCCTCACAGGTAGCCTTGGGACCCGGTACCCGCTCCCATGCCCATCCTGCGGGAGGCATGGGGATGGATGCTCGGCGGCATCCCCCCAGCTTTGCTTGTCTCATTTTCCCCATCCTCATCTCCTGCTCGGAGAGGGCAGCTCTGCTCCTGGGAGGGGGATCTGGAGGATTTTGGCCACGGCAGGCGGGTTGGCCGGGGGGTGAGGAGCTCACAGGCGTCCCCCCCCTTGGGGCACAGCTGCGGGAGTCACTAGGTACGAGGTGATGGGGACGCACGGGGACCGACCGGCTTTCCGGGTTGCCCGGCTTTCCCAAGCCGGCAGCGGGAACCCGCGGGCCCAGCCCTGTGGTGAGTCATGGGCTGAAAAAACGGTGAGCAAAAAAAAAAAAAAGCTAAAACCCTCGAGAAGCGGCAAGCCAACCTGTGGGGCAGCAGTGCCCGCCGGGGATGGCTGCTCTGGCCCCCTGCCCCTCCGTGCCACCCGGGGAGCCGGGACTGGCAGCGCCTGGGCCTCAGTAACTTTATACTGTAATAAGCTCTTTGAATGTGTATATTCTTATTTTTTTATAATCTTGGGGGGGGTGGGGGTTTTTTGGTTGTTTTTTTTGTTTTGTTTTGTTTTTTTTGTATTTAACATTAACTTGATCCAAGCCAGAGCCAGAAGTATTTGTAAATGTTCCTATTTTGCTCTTGTTCAGAGAAACATTTTTGTTGTTACTTTTTGGGTTTTGTTTTGGTTTTATTTGTATCGACATACAAATATACCACCAGTGATCGGTCCTCTTGGGTCTTGTGGTGGAGTTGGTCAGGGGCAGGAGAGAGGGACTTGAAGGCTTTGCGCACCCTGTGGTCCCCAAAAGCAAGCACGGACTTGCTGCAGCCCCCCAGCACTTTGGGGGGCTCAGGGCTGCATTTAGGGCCGTGCTGGGGAGCACGGGGTAGGACTTGCACAGGGCTGGAGGGCTGAGGGCAGCAGCCCTAAGAGCTGGCCAGCCCGCTCCTGTCCTGGGTGAGGCCCTGTGAGAGATAACCAGGCTGCAGGCAGCTTTCCTGGGCAGGCAGGATAATGGCAGGAGGGAAGGCAGAAAGACGGGCTGGGCTGTACGCAGCCTCATTAGCTGCGGAGGGGGACGCAAGCCGCCCCTCTCCGAACTCCGGCCTCTTTTCCTAGGGCCTCGCTGAGCCCCAGAGCATCAGTCTTCTGTCCTGCTTCAAGCAATGGGCTCTTCGCAGCCTCTTCTTCTTTGCATAGTCCCTTTCTCCAGCTGTCACCTTCCTCCTATCTTTTTTTATTAATTATTATTTAGAAAGTGCCCAGGGTGTGTTTGCCACCCTGACGAACAGTCTGGGAAACCAAACTTCTGCCTGCAAGGAGCCTCTGGGTCCCAGCTTGGAGATCGAGGTCCGCCCCCCGCCCCTCCCCCCCAATGGGGAGGCCAAGCAAGTGGGGCCGGCCATTGGATCTGCCTGCTGCTGCCTGCACCTCACAAGGCACGGTGGTTTTGGGGTGGCTAGGAGGGTTTGCCTCTAATGCAAATGCTGTCAACAGCAAAAGGATGGGTGGCTGCTAATTTGAACAAGATGCACTTGATCTCATTGCTGCTACATGTAATGCTCAAGGGATGGAAGCAGAGATTAAAAGGAATGGAGTTGTTGGGCGCTTCTGGTGTTATTTCCTCAGCACCTACAGCGGTAGTTTGGGGACCGTCCGCCATCTTCCTGTGTTTGAGAGCATTCTGCAATAGATGAATGGTGGCAGTGTTGGGGAAAGGCATTTCGCTGCTGGATTTGGGGGCGAGGGCATCACTTCTGTGCTGCTGGACCTGCTCTGAGCAGGCATGTAGGGCACAAAAACATGCGGGCACAGCTGGAGGGAAGGTGGCTGGGCTGCCCGTGGGCTCCTGGGCTGACAGCCAGCCCCAGCGCCTTTGGGTGCAAGCGATGCCAGTCCCAGAGCGGCAGCCGCAGCCTGAGGCTTTGGGGCGAGGGAAGAAAAGAGGCAGCGGGCGCAAATCAAGCCCTAGAGCCAGCGGGAGAGCACGTGCCCCAGAGCAGAGCAGCCGGCCCCAGTGAGGCTCCCAGGCGAGAGGAAACGCTGGCAGGTGGGAAGAGCAGCACCTGTGTTTGCTCAGCTGGAGTCCGAAAAAGCCGAGGAGGCCGGCGTCTTTCTGGGACAGGCAGAGGGGGAAGCTTTCCCCTGCGTTCGAGGCGTGGACAGGCTTGGCCAGGCCATACCAGGGCCAAACACATGGGCTGGATGGCTGGAAAAGAACTGGAAGCAGCAGGACATCTGTCTTTAAAGGATGCATGCCCTGGCACCCGTGGCTGTGTGAGAGGTGGGCGTTTGGAACATCCCTGGAGCTGTGCAAGTCCTGCCTGTGGAGCAGTTTTGTTTCAGCTGGAGTGTCCCGTTCTTCTAGGTACCATTTTCTGCCCCACTGTGCTCCTCAAGCAGCATCGGCCCACACACTCTGACCTGCAGAGCCGCTCCTCCAGCTCAGGCTGGCCTCCAGTTTTCCCTCCCAGTGCCCATTACAGGGCAGATCCAGGATCCAAGGGAGCCCCTTGTCCTCGCTCCCTCCTCGCTGCCAAATACATTCACCCCAGCTGGGCTTTCTTGTTGGCACACGCGCAGAAAGGGGGTTTTTGCGGCTTGTTTCCCAGCCCGCACTGTCGGCAGTGGCTCTCCCTGGGTCAGCGGGGCTTTCAGCAGGGTGTCGGGTCCGTCCTGTGTGGCCCCGTGGGTGTGCCCAGCCTCTGTCTTCCTTCCATGGGCTCCAAAATCCCAAACAAGCCCACGCTGTGGGTGTGGGTGAAGGCAGTCGCGCCTTTTAGCTTAATTCCATACGATGTGGACACGGAGAACTGAAACGTTTCCAAGGACACCCATGTCCTGGATGCCTGTCAGTGTCACAGTAGGAATACCAGGCAGCACAGTACTGGAGGGTGTTTAATCAAAAGGCTCTTTAGGTTCACATTAATATTTATTTTTTTTTTCTTTTTTGACTTTTAAAATGTTTCCCCTTTCACCTCTTCTTGCAATAAGATCAGCTGTCAGTGGTTTTGGACTTTAAACTTGAGGTTTGGGGATTTTTAACTAGGCTGGTGGCCTTCCACAGACAAATGACAGCAGAAGACAGGGCAGAGGATTCCTTCAGCTGCCTTCACCCCTCGGGCTGACCCTGGGGGTAGCACGGGGGTGGGGGGGTGAACCCGAGGAAAACCCGTGCTTAGGTAAAGATGAGAGGGAGGGAGAGCACCGACGCCAGCTTGAAATGGGAACTGCTCGGATACGCCGCTGTCGTAGACCTCAGCAGCTCCCTTCGAGGAGGGACAAAGATCCCATCTGTGCTGGAGGCGGAGGAAAGGGTTGTAAACATTTTCCATGGGAAAACAACCCAAACACTCCCCCCCCAACTATTTCCAGGGCCACGTTTCTTGTCAAAGCCAGCGTTTTCAGTCCTCTTGCACAACACAAGATTTTGTTCCATCCACTCCTCGTCCCCATGCCAGCAGGTCCCGCTCGGCAGCAGAAATACGGATTTCTGTGGAAATGGCCACTTCACACAGAGTGCCAAGTGTTACTGGAAAGTAAAACTTTGTGTTGTTTGGAGAGCAGTGGGAGAAATGGGCCACTGTGTGTAGGTAGCAGGTTTGCCTTGCCCTGCCTGCAGCATCTCCCCTTCCCCAGAGTGCCCCAGGGATGGGGAGCAACCACCACCGGCAAAATTCATCCTAAACCAAAACAAGCCCAAGAATTAAATCCAAAGTGCTGGCTGAGGCTGGAAATGGGATTTAAAGCCATTGCAGGGAAACCCCAAAGTGGTGTTGCCATCCCTGGGCCCACCTCTCTCATTTGGCTTTCTGGGTTTCTTGGCTGCACGCACATCGCCTCGCTTATTACAATTACTTTACTGCTTGTAATTTGCCTGGTGCATGTTGAGCCCCGGTTGGAAACAGCCTGGCTCCAGAGTGCTTCAAGTCTCAGCCCTCCTGCTTCCTTGCCACCAGCTTCCTAGGGTCGGGCTCAATCCCCAGCCCATGCAGGTTCAAGCACCCCTGGCCAGCAACCTTTCAGCAGCTAAACCGAGCCGCAGCTCCCAGCCACAGAGGCAAGAGAGATCCTACTCTGCTGTGTCTGCCATGTCCTGGCCTCTTGGCAGCACCTGGGAGCTGCCTGCTTCCTACCCTGGCCGGGGGTAAGAACCGAGGAAGGGAAAAGCAGCTGGAAAGAGAAAAAAACACAAGATGTTTAGCTCTTGTTTGAGTGAAGGTGCTTGAGCAGCAGGCCCGGTGACAGCTAATCCAAGGCCAGGCCTGGTTCCTCCAGCCTTGATTTCAGGCAGACGGGGGGGGGGGGGTGGCCGGTGCCTGCAGCAGAGAAGTGCAGCAACTCCCTCCACAACTTTGTAAACCCCGGGAGAAATAAAATAAATAAATTAAAAACCCCGCAGCCGCGTACCCATCTCCAGGTCCTGTTTTAGCGACGGCAGAGGGGACCGGATAGCGCTCGCCCTCCTCGGCTGGGGTCAGGCTCTGCTGCAGGGCCGGGGGTGTGTGGGTTGGGGGGGGGGGGGGGGGTCAGCTCCCTCCCGCCCTCCGAGCTGAGGCCTCTCCCTCAGCCACCCCCAACCCCCGCCGGTGGGCGGTCCGGTCGTGACGATCGGTATCGCGGGGCCAATCCGCCCCGGGGGGAGTTCCCCCTCCATTCAGGGCTCCTCGCCTGCGCGTTGAGGGTATGTAACAGCTGCTTTTTTTTTCCCCCCTCCCCTCCCGCCTCCTTTCCACCTCCCCTTCTCCTCACGACTAGACCGGCATTTGCTTTTCCCCAATTGGGGGGGCT